CAGTGTCAACACGCGAAGAGAATTTCATATTGGTTATTATCATACGAATATAGCAGGCCTACGATGACAACGGATTACATGAATAATTGTCACGTGCACACCGAACGCGATATGTAAATCCGCTATTATTTGATACAGTTGCGGCAATCGTTTGTTCGATTCGATGTTGCTCCTCACGATCCTTTGTATACTTTTGACATGGTGGATTGGGCACTGTTTACAATTAATATCGATCCATTCTTTCGCGCGACATTTCGTCGCATTAGTCGCGAAACATCGCGCTCGAAAATCTCCACATACATATTTCAATCGTCCAATTTCGAATCCTCGATAATTTCGCAAAATTTCGTGGACGAAATCTTCCTGTTTCGAAATTTTCTCTCTCTCTCTTTCTCTCTTTTTCTCTCCTTCTTTCTTTCTTTCTTTCTTTCTTTCCATCCATCTAGCGAAATTTCGAAAGAAGACGCAATTGGAAGATCGCGCAGCTTGTCGATCGAAACAACGAAACGGTCGAGTGTGGAACTTTCTCGATCGCAGCGTTTGCATTACGATTAAAAAACTGTGGGGATAGGATGGACGACTCGTTGCAAAGATCGCGAGAGGAATTCCTCGGTATCGCGACACGCACGGTTTTCGGATACGGAGATATGTTTTCTTTCTCTTTTCTTTCTTTTTTTTTTTTTTTTTTTCCTTTACGAATCGCGAGAGATTTCGAATTGGCGAATTTTTTCACGTCACCGCGATTTTCGTTTCGTGACACAATGCAATGAGTTAAAATTATCGCCGATTTCCGGGAAACTCGGCCGATTGCCGCGAAATTAAAAATAACGCGAGCAATCGCGAAACGTTATTTCTGCCCAAACTCTTTTCAGCGGCGTTTTCTCGCAATTTCGCAAGGTCAAAAGATGGAAGGAGGAGAAAGAAGAAGGAGGAAATGTTTTTTTCACTTCGAGGATCGATTATTAATGAACTTTTCGATCGAGTTAATCGCGAGACCTTTGCTCTATGACAAATTTCCACGATAACGTCGATTCGTAAATAGTCACGTTACTAGCTAAACGTTGGCGATTAAAAATAATTCGCAAATAAAACAGTAGATGACTGATGAATGTTCCGAGAAATCGGACACGATACTTCGTTCGTTCGATCCATTCGTATCCCGTGTAACGTAACCAAAAAAAGAAAAAGAAGAAAATCCTTTTCCTTGGCTCGGAGATATCCTCCAATCAAGAAAAAGAAAAGAAAAAAAAAACGGAACGAATAATAAAGTAATCGGTAAACGAGATGTTCGTTCGTCCCTCCAACTCGTTTCGCGGATACGCGATCGGTTGAACTTGAACCTTCTATTTATTCGTAATCAAAACACGATACCGCGATCACTTCCCATGGACGTGGTGTTAATTTTACTAAGTTACCGCGTCAATAAACGTCTACCTCGAACGTCTCGTGAATCGTTCGACCGACATAAAGTGCAGACGTTCGATTTATCAAGAAACGACCGTTTCGTTTTATCGTCCCGCGAATATTCGAGGTTAAGAACGGATCGTCGCCGGCCACCGCGACGTTAATATCGTTCGAATGACGTTTTTTTCCTCTTCTCCGGGAAATCACGGATTCCATCTTTATCTAAAACGAAGTTCCAACGAAGAGAGAGAGAGAGAGAGAGAGAGAGAGAGAGATAGGATTCAACGAAACGAAGGATCGCGACAAAAAAGCAACATTACCGGAAATCGTGCGCTATACGCACAACGATATAAGTGTGGCCGGCTCGAGCCGGCGCGTTTCCCTACCAGCATCCGTGTTCTAATTGCCCGGCGAATCAAACGCGCATCGCTCGATCGGCTGTAACGCATCCAACAGTTAGAACACCGTAAACAGAGAGAATCTGTTTACCTGTTCCGAGCGAGGTGTGTGTCATTATCGAAAGGAAATTTCATTCCGAGGCTCGATCCTATCTATCTATCTATCTGTCTATCTATCTATCCGTAGAGCGAGGATAGGCACGTAAGATAGACAAGGTTGGAAACGTGTCGCGGAAAGATAATTGGATCTCCGCGTTTCATTTTCCCCCCCGAGTTTCGAGTTTCCGCTGTTGGTGCGTGCAAGGCGCACCAGACACTCCGCGACTTTCGCGTTTCGGTCGCCCTTGAAATGTTGAAAATGCACAAGTACCGGTCGTTACGTGTTCCGGAGCGACAGGTTCCCCTGGCGAAACACGTGACGCATTGCGTATACTTTCGCAATCGTTTGCCCGTGCGTCCCCTGTACCAAGTGCTATATGCGCGAGGCGACACTATTTAACTTGCAAATTACGGAGAAATCGTTCAATTTTCAACTCACTTCGAAACGATGAATTTTCGTTCGCCACATTTTTTTCTCCTTTTTTTTCTTTTTTTTTTTTTCCTTCGTCGAATGGTATGGAAAAAACAATCTTAACGGGGAGAAGAAAT